AAAAAAAAAAAAAAAAAAAAAAAAAAAAACCTTTAATCGTATGAAGATTACGCCTATCTCAACACTAGTCGCGTTATCAAAAAGAAGAGGTTCAAATGAAGCGCAAAACCAATAGATTGCAAAAGAAAGCGAGTGATCAATAGCACACCAGTCATGTTATACAGGCACACGAATCCAAATAAACCTAACACAACACAGAGATCAGAACAAAAACAAACCGGTCTCGCAAACTCGATTTTGATTGAACTCCCACGCAGAAAAACCCCTTGAAGAGCCTCCTTAGCCGCTTGAGCATCCTCCATGTGCTTGAAGAAGATGAAAGCGTAACTCCTGGAAGGATAGGAAGAAACACTATCAATCGCCCCAAACTGCGCAAACATATTCATGAGATCCGTATCCGTGACATCCATGGACAAGTTGCCTACCCACAAGCTGTTGGAAGACATCTCCGTAACGTCCGAGTCCCTATACAGTTGCTGTCGGCTCATTTGGGGAAGAGGCGGCACTGAAATCGAAACGAAGAATCAGAGACTAAATTCACCTTTGAGATTCTATCACCGATTTTGCAGAGCAAATGAATTCGAGCAAAGAGAATGTGGCGACGTGAGAGAAGAACAGAGGATTTGAGGTTGAAGAAGAATCTTGTGTAGATGGAGAGAGAACTTTTGAAGATAGGGTTAGGTTTTGCAGAGGGAAATTGGAATTTGTACTGAAATTTTGGGGGAACGGTTTTGTTGTTTAGAATGAAATTACCATATTAGACGCCTTCGTTGCTTACAGCTTTATAACTGAACGACGAGATGAAAGGGTTTAAAATGTAAATTCAATGTCTCTATTTTAATTTTGCTTTTTTACGACAAAAATAATTGATATAATTATAAATTTTTATGTGTAATTTAACCGATAATAAAATTGATTTAAGCTTTAATCGATAATAAAATTTATTTAGGTTTAAATTATATAATTAATAATTTATAGTTTTAAAATGTTTTAAGTATACTCTTAATTTATGTTTTTAATTTAGAATAAATTATAATTTATAAAGGTGTGGAAACATTTTACTATTAGACCGGGATGGATATCGGTTAGCGGGCTTGGACCGGGATCGTTACAAATGATATCAAAGTTTGTCCTGAGCGGTGTGCCACCAAGGACGCAAGGCCCAAAAGGGGTGAATTGTGAGATCCCATATCAGTTAGAGAGAGGAACGAAACATTCCTTAGAAGGATGGGCTTGAACCGTTACAAATGGTATCAAAGTCCGTCCTAAGCGGTATGTCACCAAGGACGCTAGACCCAAAGGAGATGGATTGTGAGATCCCATATTTAGAGAGGGGAATGAAGCATTCCTTATAAGGGTATGAAAACCAAACCTACTCACAGCATACACATACACATTTCAAAAACCCTAGGAAAAGCAGAACAATATCTGCTAGCGGTGGACTTGAGCTGGTACAGATGTAGAGGTGAGTTATCAAACGTCCCATGGCCTTATATTCCAAGGTATGTTTCGGTTGTTACAAATGCAGTGGTGAGTTATCAAACGTCTCATGGCCTTATATTCCAGGGTATGTTTCGATTATATATTTACGTCAACAAGAGTCCAACCCGAGCTTTTAAAAAGTCAAAACATTTTAGACAAAATTTAAGATCACGATACAAATTTCAAACTTTCGAGAACGAAACTTGTGTTCGTTCGTTTGCTCGAGAGCTGCTCATGAACTAAAACCAATAGAATAAATTATGAGATTGTTCATAAATATATCAATATGCACTCTTCACTAACAACAGAATGTACAGTTGATGATATGTGTAAAGCTGAACTGAACAAACCCAGGTCTGTATAATATCAGTAATCAAATCTCATGAATTCAAAACAATAACCGTAATAACTGCTTTTCATGTATGGCGTGATCCGATGCAGAAGCTATGTACACGATTTTACGCTCGAGACTGAACACGGGGCACAGTGAATAATCCATGTTAAGATGAAACCAACATCGAGCTTCGACAGTTACCTTTTGGCTTTCGTTCCGGTTGCCTGTATCGGCTGTGGCAGTTGCTGCGATCCCCCGCCAAGTGCAGCGGCTGCAGACTCGACATGCATGAGAAGATACTCGTAGATCTTCTTCCTCAGCCTGTCGATTGTCTCGGTCGAAATGTCGGTGGGGTCTTCTTCGTCTTTGGTAGAAGCTATGCCATCTAACCAGTCGTTTACGCTCTTAAGCTGAGTCAAGATTCCTGCGATTTGTCCGTTATCCGACAATGCTGCAGTGTCGACGCCTGCATCCAAGAACCTTTCCATGAATGTCAAGAACCAGTCCTGGGATTGCAGCCGTAACATCTCGGCCAAGTCAACCGCTTCGTCGAGACCATTTCCTCTGATCCATTCTGGGGGAGGTTGAGCCTGCAACTTTTGACCGAGTGTCGTTCCCTCCTTTGTTCGACCGGGATTTCCTGATCCAATCGGTTTAGAGTTTATCATCTGGCGAACCTTCCCTTGGGATTTCGACGAGCTGTTCTTAGACGAGTTTTCTAAAACTACTATAGGCTGATTTGCAGATGCATTCTTTTGGTTTTGGGATAGAGACGAGATCGGATTTAGAGCCGAGGGTGGATCACGGCTATAAACTGCGAAAGACGACATGTTGGTGGCTAAAGCAGCCAGGACCCAAGCAGATGCCTGTTTTCTAGCCTTTAACGAGACCTTCATCGTTTCTTCTGAAGCGGTTTCTTCGCTCTCATTGATCGAACCAGAGGGACCCGTTTTCGAAAGAGATTCAGCCACCATATGAGCATTGGTCAGGCTAGCATGAAGCGTCAGAAACTGTTCTACTGCAGGCTGTGGATTATCCTCCTTCGCCGCAGCATTTAACTCGGAAAATATACTGCAAACCGAACAACATAAGACAACAGAAAACCGTGCGAAAGCAACCAAGAAGCTCGTTATAAAAGTCGATAAATTCTTCATATCTTTTCCAACCAAATGTACTAAAATCAGCTCAAACAGCTTTCGACCGAATCGTTTATGCTTGCATTTCAAATATAGAACTAAAAAGCAGCGAGAACTACGAGTACTGCACCGGGAAAGGTTTCGTACCTTAAACACCGTAATACGCTTTCGGCAGCTGAAGCTTCTTGCATAGCCTCTATTGCTGCTGCTTGTGCAGCATCTCTGTGCCTCATTACTTCCTATAGCAGCAGACATGGAAGAACGATATGAACGTATCAAAATAGATAGTTTCTACCGGATCGGTGAATCTCGAAAAAAACAAGCGATTAAGCTCATATAAGCTCCCGAAGCTATCTAAACGGCAGGAGATTTATCGAGCAACGACAACTAAAAGAGCTATCAGTGATTATCAAAGTATCAGAGAATCCATACCTTTCCAAGCTTGGCAAGAGATGATGGAAGTGAAGCCCATGAGGCACTCCCCTCAGTCAATCTTTTATGACTAAGAGGAATCTTCACCAAATTCCCGGGGAATCCGCCTGCATCGCTCGAGGATTTCTTTCCACCGGAAGATTTTTGCCTATTTGACCTATCTTGATCATCTAAGGCTCCGTTAGCGGTGTTCTTCCGTGAAGACATGTGCACGCTATGATCGTCTTTAGATGACTTTGCAGGTACCTGAATCCTATTCTCCTCTCTCGATGGCAACTTCTCGCTCGATGTACTTCTTCTAGGAGTCTGCATAAGAGAATGGAGACGTGATCGGACGCTAGTAAACAAATTTGCAGCTTAATAGATTCATAGTAACAGACATGAATATCCACGAATGAACGTTTTCCGTTTTAAAGACAAATCAAATATGAAACGAGGATCGTATTGAGTATGATAAAACTTACAGTAACCCGAACTTCGGACTTGGGGTCGAGTTTGGTAGCTCTTAATATCGAATTGTCTCGTCTTTTTGTCTCCATATTCCCTTCCCAACTCTTCCTCAGAGCCTTAGCCCCAACCTCAATGCCCTGAACTAAATGCTTGAATTGATGTCCCATTCCCATCTTCTTAGCGACGGGACTAGCCGAACGAACAGAATTCGACTTCTCAACCGCCCCTACCTTGGCCGTTCCATTAGCCAACGCTTTAACCTTCCCCTGATGCTTAATGCTGTTAGCAAACTTCTCAAACGAAGAAGGCAATGAATAACAGCTCGTCGGAGAGGAAGGTATCGACCGTGAATTCATCGACTTAAGTCTCGTTAGAGGCTCCTTTTTCGGATCAATATTCACCGCCAATTTCGACAACTGAGACTTGGATCTACTCAACGATGAGGATTTCTTCTCAATCTTATCCTCCTTAACATTGCCATTGAGTCTAACAGGCAGAGATTTCTCCTTCTCCCCGACAATGCCTAAGACTTTCGGGGTCGGTTTCGATTTCTCCAATGGTTTCAAGTTAGGATTATTGTTAAGAAAACCAGGAGAATGAGTAGCAACAATATCTTCAGGGCTACCTACACAAGGATGTCGACCGGGTACCGGTCGAACGCCTTGAAGAACGGGGACAGGGGACGCAGACTCAAGGCGTTCAACATGAATAAACTGACCCAATTGAATCTTATCACTAAGAATCAGATCACCATGTTCATCAGGCAATGAAACATAAGTAGCATGAGAAGAATCAGAGACTTTGAGATAAAAACCTTGATTCGGTGAAAGATCGCCGCCGGCCAATGCCGGAACTATACTCACAACTTGCAACAACGCCGACCTGTGCTCACCGGCAACCTTCACATCAGTGTTCATATGCTGCAACAGTTTAAGAAGCACTCCAGGAACCAGATTCGCCATTGTTGGATACCTTCAGAAGGCATCACTCAAAAACCAAACAGATTTTGAAGAAACCCCCAAGAAATCGTAACCCCTTCTTCAAGAAAACAAGAAATATCGAGAAGGAAGAGCTTAATCATCCATCGCCAATGGCGAAATGAAGCGATCCAAATCAAAAGGAGAAGAAATTACAGAAAAGGAAAATGGGGGATAACCTTCAAACCAGATTAATATCTTTGCCAAATATAACACAAATCAAACAAAACTCCGGCAAAGAAGCACCGTACAGGATTTAGATTTGGTAGGTTTAACCAATTGCTACCTCAAATATGAACACACATTTCATTTCATTTCAAATTAGAGGAACAACCAGAAAACCCAGAACGAGATTCGCTCATAGAACTAGAAATCAAGCAATAAATCGATGAAAAAACAGGAAAACTCACCGACCCAGATGAGAAAATGACTTAAACATCGAAACCCATTTGGTATTTAACTCAAAAAAGCACAAACAAGAACACCATTTCTATGCAAAAACGCCATGAAAAAGGAAGGGTAAAAAATGGGAGTTTCTGGTTGTGGGAAGAAGCGAAGAACATGGCGGTGTAGGGATGGTAAGAAATGGAACTGGAAATGGAAGATCTCTGAGAGAAAACAGAAAAAAGTAGAGAGAATAAATGAGGGCAGGCTCAATACATGATTAAGTAGAGAAGCTGTCAGTGTCTGACACCCACCATATACATAACAATATGCAAATTATAAAGCTTTAATCTCACCCACTCTTCAATCTTTTACTCCATAATCCATCAACATCTAAATTATGTTCATATTCAATTCTTTACTAAATCAATTTCTTCCCTTTTATCCTATTATGTTCTAATTTTTTTTTAAAAAAAAAACTATATGGGTTATTGGAGGATGAAAGTCCTCTAATTTAGG